CCCCTCCCTGTGAGCCCAGTGCCGTCTGCGAGACAGCCGAGACACAGCGAAACCCAGCCCGAAACACACCCGCAGCCTGGCTGGGAGTTTGTGTGTGTGCTCAGGCTGAGTTCCGCGGTGTCTCGCTGTCTCGCCGACCCCACACCAGTGAGCCAGCTCACAGTGTCCCGCTCCTCCCAGCAGCGAGCCTCACAACGTCCCGCCGAGTGTGTGTGTGTGAGGAAGTCCGCGGATTGGTCCAAACGTAACGGCTCCGCGGATTGGTCCATTTGGATCGTTACTTTACGTTACATCACTATACCCAAATACGTCACTGTACCCAGGAAGAAAAAGAGAAATGTCCAACGAGGCGTTCTGGGGCAGCATAGACAGGTCTTCTCTGTGTTAGAGTTTTACTCCTACAGGGTGTACTTTGAGGGTTTTGACTCTGCAGACCGTTTACAAGCAGAAAAACCTTCATAACACACAAGGGGACGGGTGATAACCGGAAAAGCATGACATGGGACCTTTAAGAGTTGTATGGCACATAAAGGCCTGCTGAGTCACACTTACTGTAGAGAACGGTGAAGACTTCCTCCACCATCTTCCTCAGAACGAAGATGTTGGACTGAGCTTCTGACGGAGCTCTGGGTTTCCCGTGATCTCCGTCCTTACTCACTTTGCTCAGATCTACTTCCTGCTCTTTGGTATGTGCGTTAGCTGAGGGGACATTCTGCAGACAGGGCCCCCCTGAAGACAAAGGACAAAAGCCACATAATAAGTGAACAAGAACATCCAATATGATTATTGGTTCAGATGACCTTCAGTATTAGTTTAACAAATAGTTAATGCAACTTCACTTTTGCCGCTACCTGAGTCATTGCTTTGACTTTAAAAGTTCCATGTTATCCAAAAAAAAGCATAATAGGGTCTCTTTAAGTATCTTCAACAATTGGTGAACCATTCTGTTCAAATACTCATCATGTGTTTTAGTTAAGGGCCAATAACGTACACAACTTAAATAGATTAAATATGTATACTTATATATTTCTACACTCTATTGACTTTTTCAAATTAGGTTTCTAATGTCTGTACTTTTATATTTCCTCACCGCGTCACCCTTAATTTCAAAACATATATATTTTAATCATGGTGCTGTTTGATTACATGCCTAGCTTTGTGTAAAACAAGCAGGAGAAAAACGCTTTTAGACAGCAGTGAACATTTTGTTTTGAAAGTCTAAAAGCCAACGAACATAAATTGAAGCAGAATCTTTGATCAGATAAAAACATCTTGGTAATCTTGGAGATTACTTAATCTTTTAATTTTCTATAAATGTTGATGTTTGGATTTAGAATAGGATGGAGTTATTGTAAATCTTTGAGTCAAACAATCTGAAAAACATAACCACCACGGGAATCAATTAATAATATTAGTGTAGCCTCATCTTTATCTGCGGTCATGGCGCATCATCAGACCACTCGGCCCTAAATATCAGTTATATTTCTTGACTGAACAAGATGAAGTGGAGCCATTGTTCCCTGTAACTGGCATTAAAACTCATTCCCCTTGAAGAACCAGCCTCATGAAATCAACCTGCCCTCAAATGAGTGTTAATAGCAGGGAAACGCTGTGGAGTCTGAGAACATGAGGGGATTTTATACTTTAGTGCTCAAGGTCAATAGGTGGGGCTTAGGCTGTTTTCTTAAACACAGCTCAGCTTACAAACTTGCATACTCGTTTGTTTGAAGGAAATGAAGGCTTACAATTTGTGTAAGAGGTATTCTGGAATATCTGAGTGTTTGCGTGAATGAGAGGCCACTTGATTTTAAACCTCCTAATTACAACAATGCACTTAGACCCCATTCACACGGGAACGCAAACGAAACGCAAACGAACCGAATTCGATATCAAAAAAGTTGTCCCTTCACACGAGACCGCTCGACCCGCCGGAAACGCTGTAGTACATATGTCAGGCCTGTAAGTGGCGCTGTACTTCCGCCACAAAATACACCAAAAGCAGCGAAGAAGACCCCCGAGCATGGTTGCCATGCTGTTTATTCTCCGCGGTGGATTTAGCAACATGTAGTTCTCCATGTCCACTTGTTGCTGATGGTTGTGGTAGAGGAGCTGTAGATTTTGCACTAAAATCTGTAGCATGGTCGGTAGCAGTAGCTACTGACCATGCTACAGCAGTGAGCAGCAGAGGTGGGGAGAGGCGGGGCTATGGCTTCATCATTATCAGGAAATGATCGTATAGGACATACACACAGAGCCGTTTGGCCCCCCAGAGCGTTACGTCCGCAGATCTATCCACCTTGGACCCGTTATCGCTTTAGGGGTCCGTTTCCACGTTTCCGTTACGGCCTCGTGTGAACGAACGGGCTATACGAAAGAGAAAAGTAGCGGATACAACCCGTTTCGTTCCCGTATAAACAGCACCTTAATCTCCTCCTAAACAAGCCTCTGACAAATTCACTGTTTAAAAAGTAATGTAAAAAAGTAGATTTTAATCTTAATAAGCATTTCATATGACTGTGAGCAGTTAAAAAGTCTCATCCAATGTGACAATATGTTTTGTTGATATATCTTTTTATGTGATAAAATGTGTGAAACTGCAACTACTAAGTTTTCTGTGGAAATAATCTGACATCTGCAAGCTGCTAAAGTTATTGAAGCATTCGACTGAATCTGCAATTGTGCAACGACATAACTTCCAAATCCTACAGGAACAATCAGTGCCTTTGTATGAAACTGGCTAACAGCTGTAGGTACTGTATAATGAAATTAATCAATGCTCCATTCAACATTCAACTCACGGCAGAACTTGTAGAAGTCTGTTTGGATCTCCCTCCTGGAGTTGAGGAACACTCGGCCCTTTTCCGTGCCGACTGCAATCACGCTGTCTTCGTGTACGGTGACACACGCCACCTCAGCGTTGAGTTTAGACATCGCCATGCACTGCAAAACAAGGAGGCATCAGTTACTCTCAAGGCATTACCATAAACTCTGAGGAAGACATGCGCTCCACTCAAGAGTCTATTAAGAAAAGTGATGAGCTGCGTTGTGTTTCCTCTTGGGATGGAACAAGGTATTCTAGGGATGGCTTGACACCACTTTTCCAGTCCAATAATGACACCTGGAGTATTTGCAGATATTCATATCAATCAAAAGTTTGTTTTTCTCTATGTAACACTTCATACGTTTTTAAAGATGCATTTTGTTTTACCTAGCTATCAATACAACATTATGCTCTATCTGTGAAACAAATATTCAACCCCACTAAAGCCCCTGTCGCACTGTCCCGAAATTGACACCCGATGGACACATGAATATGGAATTGTGAATTTCGCACGAAGATGGCCCCGAACCACACACAAAGGCAACATTTACATTACATTTAAGACATACAACTGCAACGAAAGTAACACAAACAATTATGTTAAAGTATTATGATACTGTACTGATATTTTCAGACTTTGTTCTTTACTTTCTCCGTCTTTATATGTAGAAGATATTACGTTTTCTCCGTCATGTTGTTTCCATAGCAACAACAACTTCCTCGCCTTCAAAATAATATATTATATCCTTTTTAGTTTCACAGAACACAAATTGGGTTATTTACATAATATGTTTACATGATTTTGTTGTGCAATAAAACAACCAGATGGACACACGATAAAGGAAATGTTCAAATTCAGCTCTGATCGTAGCAACATCGGGACATTCGTGAGGGAATCTTAAGCCAAAGATTTTGCCACCGCTCCCGAAGTTGCTGCCGGAGCCTGAGAAACTCCACCGGCGGTCATACGATGGCTTAAGATGCCCTCACGAATGGCCCGATGTTGTTACGATCAGAGCCGAATTTGAACATTTCCTTAATCGTGTGTCCATCGGGTGTCAATTTCGGGACAGTGTGACAGGGGCTTAAAGGAGAAAATAGGACTCAGTAATTCAATCTTGCTGCTTCTTTAAAAAAAAAAAGTGTTCTTATACGGGACCATTTCAACATTCACAATACAATTTAAAGGGAAACTCTGTTCAAAAGTTCAATTTGATAACCACGAATAACAAAGGAAGTATCATCCTGTCAGTTAGAGATAACTGAGCCCTCAACATGACATTGTAAAAATGAAGAAGCAATGTAGACCATTACTAAAATAACTATCATTTAATATATAAAAATGATAGCGATATCAAGGTGGGTTGCCATTATTGAGATAACTGTGAATATCCCCGTTTGAGTGACATGACTGAGGGTTGTTGTGCACATTAACAATGCATCTTCATATAAACAGGAAGCATTCTTGCCACACTTCAGGCCATTAAGATTATAATGTATTATTCATATTAATTCTCTCTCTGTGCTTTTATTTAAGTAATTGGTATGTAAGCTGAGATATACGTAGATGTCTTGCTACACGATGAAGGTGAGATTATTGTCACCCATGGAGAGATGTATGTTATATGTGCAGTAACTATTCTTCACACATTTGAGTACGTATGCGGGTGTATGTTTATGTATGTTATGTCTGAATGTTTACAAAAATGAAAATAAAAAGAGTATTAAAAAACCAGAACAAGAAGCATTATGTTTCAGGGTGGATTTTCACTCATTTGCAAATAGAAAAGACATTGTGTCCATGGATGATGCTCTCCCTCTGTGATGTTCCCTTCCTGTCTCTGGTGTAGTTTGCTGTGATACTTTGATATTTTGAAAAGTGAAACATTTAGCAGGCTGTGTTATGTATGTATGTTTTTTAAGTCGTTGTGTGAGGCGTCTCGTGGGACGTACCACTGAGTCGAGGGCGGACACCAGGCTGGTGAGGATCTCCTGTCGGGCGGACACCAGCGGGGCCGTGGCGTCGCCCCCCCGGGAGTTGGTCCTGATGCCATCACAGGCCAGCTTCCTCATCTGAGCCATGCCTCTGCAGAGAGGACATTCACACAGATTAGACAGGCAGCCACAACGTGACATGGAAGGAAAAAAAACGGACGTGAGCGTGCATCCATAAACACACTCAGAGGTGACCTGCATTCAAAGTACTTTCTTCTGACTCCATTGTGTTTGACTTTAAGCAAATATTAGCGTGTATTCAAGGCATCGATCCAAGACTAGGAGAAGAATAAAGGAAGTGAGGGATCAAGCTTTTATTATCTCAGGGATCATTATTTAATCTACTAACAGGCAGATTCTACAGCCAAGCTAACAGCTCTGTTCTGCATTACTCAGGAGCTCCTAATGACATGGTTAACGTGGTGATGTTTTGCATGTCACGTTTGCATAAGGGTATCAACTAGTAAGAACAAAAAAAAACTGACATTTTTACAGTTATATGGACAGAAAAGTAATTTAGTAAGAGACCAATCGGTGAGGTTTTCTGTCTCAAAAAATCTCATGAAATCCAGAGTGAATATTTGCAACTCAAATTTGCAATCGACCGATGGTAAATATGTTTGTTAGCTGTGTAATAAATATACAAGACAGCATAGGAAGTGTATACCGTTTTAAACCATCGGTGTTACTAGTAATGCATGACCTTTAGTTATAGGTTTATATATTGTTTTTTTAGGTCTAAACTATAGTTTTGGACACTTATGGCGTGATGATGGCGCTCCAAAAAGTAAGAGGAGATAACCAAAGTTCTATTTGGGGGGATAATGCAATTACTGAACATCATTTGAGAATCCTTCCAATAAACGTCGTGACAGCTCGTTAAAAACAACAAATGTGAATGTCATGATGGCGCCAGAGGGTAAATCAGGAGTTCAACTAAATCTTTGGGATTCATCCTGTTCAAACTGGCATTTTCTTTATAATCTGTACCCTGTGTCCTTTTGTAGTCAATTTCCTGTTGTTTGTCTTGTCTTACCCCAGCTGATACTTCACTAAATCCACTGTTTTAATTGTTCCCTATATTGCCCCTATGCCCTGTAAGGTGTCCTTGGGTGTTATGAAAGACGCCCCCCAAAATAAATGTATTATTATTATTATCCTTCTTTGCTATAAAACTTGATGTCAATGCCTCCAGTAGTAGTTCAGATATTTGACTAGATAAGTAAAGACTTTTGAGCTGCTGGTGCAACGGAGAGTCAAGAGTTGCTCAGGTATTCTCGACCAAAGGCAAGCAATGGACTGGCCAACATCCCTACAGCCACACTTCTAGCATTGCTAATCCATATGTATTCAGCAACCTATGGTTTCATGCTCTTATGTGTATCATCTGGGGCTTCTTAGAGCACTCGAATGATGTCATATGAGCCCCTACATCCTGTTTTTCCCTCGCTGACAGATGGCGCCAGAAAAAGAGATATTGACTTTAGATTATCTAGATAAGTCCTTAAGTTTCCATGACCACTTAAGGCAAGGTTTATCTACATCATACATTGAAACTGCCTGTCAAAGAACATAATGACATATAACTACAAATAACAAGACACTCTATGTATATTAAGAAGCAAACAGATATAAAATACTGCTCGGCTAAAGCCAGGCACTATGTTCTCATGGCAACTGAAACCCGTCTCCTTGGAAACTAATCTCGGGGCATTTGAACAATGCGGCTCTGGCCTTTAATCTCTCCAGACACTGGGAACCATTATACTCGCCTCTGGCAGCCCCACACCACTGACTCAATAGAGAGAGGACAGAGAGGCAGAGAGAGATAGACGGAGGGGAGGGTGGGTGTGGTGGGTTCAGCTGCACCAGTCTGAACATGCCAAGTCTATTGGCCATCTAAATGTGCCTCCCCTGGGGCCACAGCAAACATTAGCCCCCTCCCTCCTAAATGATTGCGGCCTCAAAATAGATGGCCTCTTTCCCTCACATATTTAAAAGGCAAAGGAAGTAGCGAGGCGGAGTAGGAGGAAGGTGGGGATAAGCATCAGCTCAGAATAATGCCATGTCGAGGAGGCACAATGTCACGGTCCTGCTGTGGCTCTGTGTGAATATTAAACTATTCAGTATGCAAAAACAACTCGAAACACAACACTAAAGAAAAACGAATTTTCGTCGAAGCAAATCCTGCAGTTGTTGATAGTGACATGCCAACTAATAGTCTAATGGATTGTCTGGTGTCTACTACCTACTGACGTGAAACTTGTTTGCTAAAAAGATGATTAGAAAGACAGATGAACGAGAAGCTGCTTCGGCTTTTCAACATTCCTACCGATGTCTTTTTACGATGTGTGCATCTTGCAGGGTTTTTCCTGCATCTTAAGATCCTGGGCACTCTGCCGGAGTGCCATTTGGAGCTAACCTCTAAGTGAATTTAAATTGTCTCAGGAACTGGATTAAACCAGAGGACCTAAAAAGGGGTCTGTAATGCGATAAAGCTGTTTACTGACAGAGGGCTACTTTGGCTCCAAAAATGTCAATACCTACTGGAGTCAGTGAAGGTGACCAGATGAAGGTCTATGTCCACTTAGGAAACGCTATCACAGCTCTATGTCAGATCTCTGGGTCTTTGGAGTTCTGAAACAGGGAAATGACGTAACAAGTCCAAAAGTCTATATTTACACCAGCAGCTAACCAAGGTTTTTGTTCTATGCTATAGTTTTTAGGAAGAAGATACACTTTACATATAAGTTCTCTACTATGATTAAGAAGTGAACCTCTTCCTATGCTTCTTTTGTTAAATGACTACACATGAAGTCTGCTTTCATAGTAAATGGGGCATTTGTCACATGGTCAAATCTGTGTTTTTGATGGCCAAACATTTGTGTCTCGCTTTAACTTCAGAGTCAGACACGATGTGTTTGTAATATACATGTTAGTGCATACCCTCGAAAACATGATATCGTGGTAAAAGACAAGGTCACCATAGCCCATACAGTACATGGCTTCAGGACGTTAGAGCATTTCAAGATGTTTATTGGGATTCAAATTCTCTGCACACTAATGGCGCATTTCCACTACAGCACGGAGCGCGGTTTAAGCGTGCCGTGCCCGGCCCGTTTTTGGTTGCGTTTCCACTTGGCGTAGTTCCGGCTAGCGGGTACTATTTCACAGTTTTCTGGCTCTCCAAAATCAAGGTTCTTTCCGGGCCAACAACCGGGCTGAGTCGGGCTGAGTATGCTAAACTAGAGAGAGAATCGCTGGCAACTACAACAAGATGAACATATTTGACCGTGATTTAATTGTAATACACGTTTCAAAATGATGCCGAAGTAACAACATACTGATACCGGTTAGTAAAAAGCATGAATTAAGGCTTTGACAAGTCTGCAGACAGACGGCAGGCCAAACCTTACGAAGGGCAAAATGGACACACAAAGTACAACACGA